TTGGTAACTTGAACTTGGGAAACCCCTCGGCCGTGGAAGGAGGGGAGAGGAGCCTTGTGAAATGTGGTGGCAGCTGGGGGGTCCCGGCGTCCCTGCCAGGAGCCCCAAGCGTCTTCACAAAATCCCCTTGGGGCTTTGCGTAGAGCCTTGGGAACGCTGGGAAGCGAGATGGGGGTGCTGGGGAGGTGCCCCCCCTCCTTGCAGCGGGGCACAGGGCATTAGAGCAGGCCTGAGGCTGCTCTCGGCTCATCTCATGCCTCGACAAATTACCCGTCACTTGCAGAGCATGAGGGCCCCTGTCCTGGGCCCCTCTCCTGGTCACACTTGTTCCCATCTCTGGGTTGTTCTGGTCCCCTCTTCTTGTCCCACTTGTCTCCTGTTCCCACTTATCCCCAGCCCAAAGGCTTGTCCTTGTCTCCTCATCCCACTTGTCCTTGTCCCCTGGTCCCACTGGTCCCTTCTCCTGGTCCAACTTGTCTCCATCTCTTGGTCCCACTTGAATCCTGGTCCCTTCTGGTTCCACTTGTCCCCATCTCCTGGTCCCATTTGTTCCATCTTTTGGTTACATTTTCCCCCTCTCCTCATTCTTCTTGTGCCCAACTCCTGGTCCCACTGGTCCCCTCTCTTGGTCAAGCTTGTCCCCAGCTCTTGGTCTCATTTATTTCCCTCTCCTGGCACCATTTGTCCCCTCTCCTTCTCCCACTCATCCCCATCTCCCTGTCCCACTTGGGCCCTCTCCTTATCCCACTTGTCCCCTCCCCTGGCCCTGCCCTCAAGGCAGCTTTGGTGCAGACCCAGCAGGATTCAGCACAGGCTTTTGGGGCCGGAGCCTTTCCCCACCGGGGGAAGCCCAACGCAGCCACCCAAGCCCCATGACCGAATGCCCTGGCAAGCGTAGCCAAGAGGATAATGCAATTTTGGCCTGGCTGTGAGCTGAGACTGGGGAAACTCGTGCCATGCAAAGCTGCCCAGTGTCTCGGATGCTTTTGGGCATCTGCATTGCAGTGGTACCCAGACTCTGATGCAGGGTGAGGGGGCTAATGCCAAAAAAAAGGGAGTAAAATCAACCTCTCTGATCCCAAAATCAGACATTTTGCCCCAAAGCAGCTCCCCACCTGGTTCAGCCTCGGGCTTGGTGCTGGATCTGGCCCCAAATTGTTCCGTTTGGCATCGTCCTGGCCATCCCCGGGCACCGTGGGGCCCATCCTGCCCCGTACCCGATGCCTGGTCGCAGAGCAATTTGTGGTTCTTTTTTTTTTTTTAATTTCTCCCCCATACAGTGATTTCTCCTTTCACAAATAACCCGAAAGTGGAAAACGGGCAAGAAAAAGCATTTTAGAATAGGTTAAAAAACACCTCTGAGAAATGAAAGAGTTTTCCACCAAACTAAATATTGCAGAGACATATTTGCAAAGGGGTTTTGCAGGGTGTTTTTTGGGGGGGGTTGTTTAGTTATTTATTCCCCTATGCAGAACCTGGGTTGCTGTAACCCAACCGAGCTCACCCCTGCAGCATCCCCTAACCCCTCGCCCCACCGACCCCGATCAACATCCCTGTGAAAAAAAAAATAATCCCTTTTTCCTCACTTTTTTATGGCAGGCGGGGGGGGGGGGGGCCCCCCCCTTCGCGCCGTGGGCAATACGTCATGTTTGCTTAAGAGCAGAGTTATTGCCGGGGAGGAGGCAGGGAGCTGCGGCCCCGGGGGCTGCAGGAAGGGGGAAAAAATGGGGGGAATTGGGGAAAAAAATCCTGCCCTTCTTTCCAACGTCCTTTGGGAGGGCTCAGAAAAGCTCCTTGGTCCCTCCTGTCTTGGGGGTGGGGGTGTGTGTGTGTCTCAGTGTTGTTTCCCCAATGTTTAATTAATTTGTTTTTAAAGCCCAGTTGTTGAAATGTTATTAGAATGTCTCATTTGGCTGAAAAAAAAGGGAATGGGGAGAATTTGTGACTGATTCAGCAGAAGCATCTCCGGTCCCCCCACAGTGGGTGATGCTGGGGGGTGGGGTGGGGTTCATGAGCTGCTTTTCTCCTAAAAAGTATCATTTTAGAGATGAACTGTGTCCAGGTGAAGCAGAACCGTGAGCAGGGAAAGGGGAGCGATGGGGGTTATGGTTGGGCCGGAGCCCTTGGTGTCTTTTTTGCTGGAAAAGGCTGGAGGAAGATATATGGAAAGGTGGCAGAAGATTGTTTGCCAGTGGTGGAGGTGGGATCAGCTGCTACAGTCTGGATCCAGGAGATCCACCCAAGTCTCATCCCAAGGGATCCTCCACGCCCCATCCTGCAGGATCCTCTGTGTCCTGTTCCAGGTGATCCCCATGTCCCATCCTAGATGAACCCCCAGGTCCCACCCCAGGTTGATTCCTCCATAATCCATTCTAAGTAATCCCTCATCTGCCACCCCATGTGCCCCCCCTTCAGGTCCCATTTTAGATGATCTCCCAGAACCCATCCTAGATGATCACCTGGTCCCATCCAGGTCTAATTTCTCTGAGGATCCTCCAAGCCCGGTCCTAGGTCATCCCCAGTGTGCCATCCCTGGTGACCCCCTCCCAGGTCCCCTCTTAGATGATCCCCCCCAGGTCTTATTTCAAGGGATCTCCCAGGACTCATCTGAGATAATCCCTCAAGCCCCATCCTAGATCCCTCAAGCCCCATCCTAGATGGTTCCCCATGTCACATCCCAGGTGACCCTCCTCCAGGTCCCCTCCTAGCTGATCCCCCAGGTCTTTTCCCAAGGGATCCCCCAGGTCCTAGCCTAGATGATCCCCCAGGACACATCCCAGTTGACCCCTACCTCAGGTCCCATCCTGCAGTCTCCATCCTCAGGTGACTGTGGATCATCCTGACCAGGTTTTAGGGTGGAAACGGCCAGGCTCTCCCTTGGCACCCTATGCCCCCACCCTTTTTTTTCCACCTCCCAGGTACCAAGTGCATCTCCTGTGCCAGCTCAATTACTTTAATCATTAACCAAGGCCCGACCCAAACCACCCTGTGAGTCAGGGATCTGCCCCGTGTGGCGGGAGGCACTGTGCAAGCTCCGGGATGGATTCTGCACGCCCTGTCCACTCCTTCCCCTCCGGTGGAGCAATTAGGGCCTGGAAAGCTGGATTTGGGAAGCAAAATCCCTTCCCTTGGCAATGCTGAAGCAAACAGGACCCTCCCGTCCATCCATCCCGAGCGACGCTGGCGCAAACCTTCCCACCACGCTCCCGAGCATCAAACTGGGGGAGAAACGGGCAAACGTCTCCGGTGCAAAAGCACCAATAAACTTTCTTCTCTGGGCTGGTGCCACCGATGACGGGGCTGGTGTTTCTGGCCAGGGTCCAGCCTCCCGTTAAAGAGCATCGTTAAAAAAAACCCAGCTCAGGATGGATAAGTGGTGTGACAAAACCACAGTGGTAATTAAACAACCCCAGAATAGAAGGAGAAAAGGACAAGCCTAAAAATACAGGGTGTAGTTTTGCCTCTGAAACACAGCATTAATAAATAATCACGTTTTCGGGAAGGTCTAATTTTGGCGGCTCGGGTACAATCGCCTGATGCGACGCCTTTGTTTGTCTCGATTTTGCTGGATTTGGGGCTTTTTTTTTTTTGGCCCTGTTCTTGTCCCCTGCAGAGCTGCAGGCAGGTAGGGCGTGCGAGCAAGAGGGCAGCATGTGGTAAAGGCGCTGGGTGCTGCGCTGGGTGCTGAGCTGGGTGCTGTGCCTGGGGTGGAGCGAGCGTGGGCGTGCTCAGCTCCGCCGGCTGGCGTGTAGGCACCTGCTTGTTTTTCCCAGCGTTGGGAAAACAGCCGGGATTGCCAAAGATCCCGGCCCCAGGGATAAGGCTGGAGGTGGCGGGGGGATGAGGTCCTTCGTGGCAGCTTGAACATCCCCGGGGCTGCGATGTCCCCTGCGAAACAGCTCTGCCCCGCTCACGCCGCCTCCCCGTTTGCTCATTAGTGCCTGAGCATTAATAAGACTCATTAAAATGAATTCTCCTTCATACCCCTCCGCGTAGGGAATCACCGGGGCGGGAGGGCTGATGCAATTGGGTTTCACCCTCTTTGTGGGGAAACTGAGTCATGGGGAGCATGACGGGTTGGATTACAGCCAGGAAAGGTGTATCCTGCTCTGCTTATCTTTGGGATGGGGATTAGGACTAAATCCAGCTGCCAGCTCTCCTCTTAGCTCGGGGGGGGGGAAGGGAGAAAGGGGCCCCCAACTCCCTGGGCGTGCAGACAGCAGCTCCCCAAAAGCGATAGGGAATTGGAGTGGGGATGGCCACAACCCAGGGGACTGCAGCTGGAGGGTGCCCAGCACCCATGAGGGAAAAAGGATGGGGGTGGAGGAGGATGGGGGGTGATGCAGGGCTTGATCCTGGCTGAGATGCCCTGACATCTGTGATTTCGGGGGGGGTTGGGTTTTAGCAGGGACCCCGAGGAGAAGCCCAAGGAAGCACTGGCAGCCAGCAGGACACGGGGGACACACACATTTCTTTATTGGACTCGGCGCGGTGCCAGGGGACACGCGGTGGCCACTGGCACCTCTATGGACATGAGGGGTGCACCTTGTGGGGGGGGAGTGGGGGGAGACATCTCCCCCCCCCCCCGTGTCCATCCGCACCCTGAGCCCCATCCTGCCAGGTGGGACGCCCGCATCCAACACAGACGCTGGCTGGTGACGCTCCGGCTGGGATAAATGAGGATTTTCCAGCCCAGGATGGTGGAGAGAAGTTGGTAGGGGATGGAGGGGCTGGGGGACCACCGTGACCTCTGTTCCCTATGAAGAAATTAAGGAAAAATTAAAAAAAGCACCATGAACATTGATTTTTCCAACCACCAGCAAGAGTTGCAGGGCAGGAGGTGGGCAGGAGGGGTGATACGCAAGATTTGGGGTGGCCGTTGCAATGGGTGGGGTGGACCCCCTTGGTCTGGGGCTTTCCATGGACATGGGCTTGGGCGCGAAGCCGCATCCCAGCGAGTTACCTGTGGGATGGGATTGAAGGTGGTGGTGGTGAGGGGATCACTTCTCCGTCATCATCCTCACGAACTCCTCGTAGTTGACCTGCCCGTCGTTGTTGCAGTCGGCCTCCTTGATCATCCCTCATCTTCCTCGCCATCAGCGAGAGGAACTCGGGGAAGTCGACGGTGCCGCTGCCGCCGGCATCCAGCCCCCCCACCATGTCCTGCAGCTCCGCTTCAGTGGGGTTTTGCCCCAGCGAGCGCATGACGGTGCCCAACTCCTTTGTGGTGATACAACCGTCTCCATCCCGGTCGAAAAGGGAAAAAGCCTCCTTGAATTCGGCGATCTGCTCCTCCGACAGCCGCTCGGCCATGGTGCTCCCCGCTCGCACGCGGCTCTGCCCCGGCACGCCACGGCGCCGGCGGGGAGGCGTGGAGCGGGCAGACGAGTTTCGGGGTGCTGGAGAAGAAGGGTGATCGCCAGCCCCCTTGGGCCACCCCGTCTGCCCTCCCGCTTGCTCTGCCGGTGGCGTTTCATGGGGCGGCTCCTAACGAACCCCCTAATTAAGGGATTTGCGCTGTGGCTTGCAGCAAAGCGGTGGTTTCGGGGAGAGGCTGGCTGCTGGCAGAAGCGGGGGTGATACACACTGGTTTGGGCTATTTTAAGGCAATTTTGGTGGGGATTGGAGCTGCGCAAAGGCCTCCCGCCCTGTGTGTGTGGGGGGGTGTGGTTTGAGAGGGGTCCCCCAGGCTCCCCAGCCCCACGGCCACCACGGTGATGCTGGCAGGGCTTCAAACCTGCTGAGGGAGGGTTCCTTCGTGCAGGTCCAGGCAGAGCCCGGCTGCCCAAAGCTGATGTGCTCTGTGCTGACAGAGACCTGAATCAGCCGTGACGCCTCTTCTGGGGTCCCTGAGAGGGGCCCCACGGCCCCCAGGGCAGCTGACGTGGTGGTGGTGCGTCAGGTGAGCGGAGTCATGGGTCCTGCCCTGGTTAGTCAGGGGTTAAGCCCGGGGCTGAGTGAGGGATAACCACCTTGTAATGGCCTGCATTTGTTTTTACTCATCTCTTACAGCAGGGTTCAGAGCCAAATGGCAATGAGGGCTGTTTCTCTGTCCGTCTGTCCATCCATCCTACCATCCATCTATTCTCACTACATCCCACCCATCCACCCCCCCATGTATCTACCCAGCTGCCCATCCTCCCAGCCACCCACCTGTGTGTCCATCTAGCCACCCTACCACATTATCATCCCTCCCTCCCACCACCCACCCATCCATCCCTGTGTGCAGCCATCCACCCAACGACATTGTCAGCCATCTGTCTGTCCACCCATCCAACCAGTCAACTATCCATCCGTCCCTCCTCCAACCATTCGTCCACGCATCTGGCCATCCATCCATGCATTCCCATTCCTATCCATCTATCTGTCCCTCATAGAATCACGGAATTGTAGAATCATTTGGTTGGAAAAGACCTTTAAGGTCATCAAGTCCAACCACTCCCCTACCCCTGCCATCCCACCCCCAAACCCTGGCCCTCAGCACCGCCTCTGCCCGGCTGTTA